ATTCACACCTAGCTTCAACAGACAAGAGTTCTTTCTCCCACCCGGGACTTTCCACAGATATATAAACCTTATTTTCCTAGTTTGCAACAGACCTCACAACCTCTGAGGATGCTTGCCATAGATGCAGGCGAAACATCAGGAGAGAATGCTTCTAGAACATGGCCATACAGCTCGAAAAACCTACAACAACCCAGTGTTTCTGGCCATGAAAGCCTTTGTCAATACATTAAACATAATAATATTACCCTATATGTGACTGTGGCGCCCCCGGTGGCGCAGTGGGTTAAAGCACTGATCTGCTGAAATTGCTGACCGAGATCCGGGGAACGGGGTGAGCTCCTGCTGTCAGCCCCAGCTTCTACAAACCTAGCAATTCTAAAACATGCAAATTGGAGTAGATCATTAGGTACTGCTCAGGCAGGAAGATAACAGCGCTCCATGCAGTCATGCCAGCCACATAACCTTGGAGGTGTCTACGGACAATGCCAACTCTTTGGCTTAGAAATGGAGATGAGCACCAATGGCCAGAGCACAACTAGACTTAATGTCAGGGGAAAACCTTTACCTTTACTATATGTGTTTGTATTTTATACACAAGATAGAAGATATAACTTGCTCTTTGGCAGCTGCAACACAAGCACCCGACTGACCGACACTGTAAATGATCCTAGGAGAACATTCAGTACTTTAGCCAACCATATGCTGTATCTTCTTCAGAAAGGGGGGAGTTGCAGCTGCAACAAATATTCTGCTTCTCCTCCATTGATTGATTTAGTAGCCTGCCTTTCTCTCAATAATAGACACAAGACAGCTCACAGCACAGATTAAAACAAAACACAGGCAAAAGTTCCCAAAGTTATAAACTGCTTCTATTGAACTTCTACAGTAGTTTCAACCAAGCCAGAGCAGTCTCAGCTGAGGAGCAGAAGCAAGTGAAACAAACCCTAAAGAAATCTATATTGACTCAGTCGTCGTCACCCAGGATAATAAAGACCGAGGCAAGTGCTTCTCCTGTGCATCTGTCGACAAGTGGGCTACAGGAACCAAAACCCACTCCTGAGCAATCAGGGCATGGGTCTGTAGGCCAACTGGAAACAAAACAACTACAGAAACCATCTGCCTATGACAAAAAAAAAAAAAAACTGGTGGGATCACAAGCCTGAAAAAGTTAAGATAAAATTAATGCGTAAAACTACTCTGGGACTTCCAAATTCAGACTGACAGAGTTTTGAAGCACAATACTTCTGACCTCACAATTGTGGGGAAAAAACAAGTATGGATCGTTGATGTTGCAATCCCAGCTGACAGCAAGATTGAAGAAAAACAACCGAAAAAGCTTACACAATATGAGGATTTAAAGACTGAAATGCAAAAACTCTGGCACAAGCCAGCAAAGGTGGTCTCAGTGGTGATCAGCACTCTGACTGCAGTGCCTAGCACTTGATTACAATCAGCACTTGGCCAGCACTTGATCACAATCAGTGATGACAAAATCACCATCTGACAGCTGCAAAAAGCCACCCTACTCGGATCTGCAAACATTATCCAGCCATACATCACATAGTTCTAGACACTTGGGAAGTGTCCAACATGTGACCCAATACAAAAGCCAGCACAGTGATCTTGTTTTCTGTGTACTAATCTTGTTGTATATCAAATTTATTTATTTACTTATTTACTATACTTGTATACACCTTTCTCAGCCTTATTGGTGACTCAAAGTGGCTAATAATAATAATAATAATAATAATAATAATAGTAATAATAATAATATTAATAATAATATATCCAATTTTCCTCTCCTAAAGTTCCAGTGCCTACAAGAAGCCATCTGTCCATCTTTGACAATATTGTTAGTGTACATTGCCAGCTTCATCATGGTTCAGCTCTTTCCCACTTCTTAAAAGTTTCTGGATATTAATTTGCTAAGATGGAAACATCAAAATGAAGTTCAACAGGGACAAATACAAGATACTCCACTTGGGCAGAAAAAAAATACAGAATGGGGAACACCTGGCTAGAGAGCAGTACGTGTGAAAAAGATCTTGGAGTCCTCATGGACAACAATTTAAACATGAGCCAACAATGTGATGCAGTGGCAAAAAGGCCAATGGAATCTCAGCCTCCATAAATACGAGTATAGTGCCTAGATCCAGGGAAGTCATACTATCCCTCTATTCTGCCTTGGTCAGACCATACTTGGGATACTGTGTCCAGTTCTGGGCACCACAATTGAAGGGAGATGTTGACAAGCTGGAATGTGTCCAGAGGAGAGACCAAAATGATAAATGATCTGGAGAACAAGCCCTATGAGGAGCGGCTTAAAGAACTGGGCATGTTTAGCCTGAAGAAGAGAAGAAGGCTGGGAGGAGACATGATGAGCATGTATAAATATATGAGGGGAAGTCATGAGAAGGGAGCAGGTTTGTTTTCTGCTCCCCTGGAGACTAGAATGCGGAACAATACAGGAAAGAAGATTCCATCTGAACATGAGGAAGAATTTCCTAACTGCGAGAGCTGTTCAGCAGTGGAACTCTCTGTCCCAGAGTGTGGTGGAAGCTCCTTCTTTGGAGGCTTTTAAGAGGCTGGATGTCCATCTGTTGGGGTGTGTGTGTGTGTGCTTTGAATGCAATTTTCCTGCTTCTTGGAATGGGGGGGGGGGTTGGACTGGATGGCCCACAAGGTCTCTTCCAACTCTATGATTCTATATTTTCTTTGGTGCACATATATGAAAATAATAAATGCATGTGCAAGAAAATCAGGCAATCTGTCACTAAATGTAATCTAAGAACTACTGGGCAATAGTCAGATACTTATTATATTATTTTCTAACATATTCATCTAAGGATGAATTTGCCTCTTGGTATTTAAATCAGTGTAAAGCAACAGGTCAGAACAGAGTAAACAAATAATAAAACCTATAAAAGGAAGTAAAAAATTAAATCATGTACCATAGTGAAGAAGGCTGGGCTGGCTTTTCTGCGAAAGGTTGGTTCCCAATATGAGCAAAGGTTGCAGCTCAAAAACAGACGAGTGTTTCTTATATTGTGTGCCTTCCACTTATAGCAAACCTATCAGTTATAATTCTGTTTCGTGTCTCAAATGTAAATGTTTTATTTTTACACGGCAGAACATGTCCTATGGCTCTGGAGGAAATGTATATTGTGTCCCATTTAAATACAAATTGAGGAACAGCCTATTGTAATAACTAACTTTTATAAAAACTGGTTTCTAATATCATATGAACCTGTGTAACAAGTCCTTTCTCCAAGTCATCCATCCCACTGGGTAGATCTTGTGATCTGGTGTTATTACTTTATAGTTCACCAGCTGCTCCATTCTCAACACATTCAGACTATAGTTTTGTGTCACATTCATCTCAGGAGTACCATTTCTCTGGGTGTTTTGGACTTCAGCTCCCACATTTCCTAACAGCTGGTAAGCTGGCTGGTTTTCTGGGAGCTGAAGTCCAAAACATCTGGATGCCCAAAGGTTGGGAACCACTGCTGCCTGAGCTGACTCTGTTTAGCTTTCAAGATCAAATAAGACTTTATGCATTTAGGCTATGCAAGGGCAGCACTGACTGCAAATGATGAAGCCTTAAGTGGAGATTATGTAAACTACTGGACTTTGAGAGGGAGATAGGACAAAGAAGAAAGCATTATACCATACTCATGTTTATGAACATGACTTGACATTTCTACTACAAATTCTTATATTAAAATATGGATCTTTTGTATAGATAGTTAGTTGATCCATCTTAAAGATGTCACAAAACACTATTTTCTTTTTTATACTGGAACAGACGATAATGACCATCTTGTTCAATGGGTTGTTGTAGGTTTTTTGGGCTATCTGGCCGTTTTCCAGAAGCATTATCTCCTGACGTTTCGCCTGCATCTCTGGCAAACATCCTCAGAGGTTGTGAGGTTTGTTTGCCACAGATGCAGGTGAAACGTCAGGAGAGAATACTTCTAGAACATGACCATACAGCCCGATAAAACCTACAACAACCCAGTGATTCCGGGCCATGAAAACCTTCGACAATACATCTTGTTAAATATTATATTTAGCTGTTTATTTATAGGTTATTTGATTGTATCTCAATGTACGTATAATTCACACTTTCCTCAAAACTTAAGTCAGCTTACTTAAGTTGACCTCCATAAGAGAGACTATTCAAAACACCAAGCAAAGACAAAAAAAATTACAAAATGTAAAGGAGCAAATTAAAAATCAAGAGCAGCAAACACGATTAAAATGGGCTCAACAGGCACCTTGACAGCACATATAAACACATAGCATTTAGTACAGTGTCTATGTGGCAGCTGGCACTCTGGATACAAGCTACCGTCGTTCTCTATAGTTAAAGTTTAACTAGTTCTGGAAAAGCTTACCTCTTCTTCTGTCTCCATTTGTAGATCAGAAATCATAATAATATAAATATTACTTGTAAAACATCTAGAAGACGTGTTAATTTAATAGTAATTTCTTAGCGAGCGACTGGCGCAGGTAGTAAGAGTTTCTCTAGTGCATGTTTCCAAGTGAGAACATGATCCTGCCTTGACATTTATGCATTTAAAGGAGAAGGGGTGCAAAAGGGAGGTTTATGACAAACAACTTCCTTTACCATTCCATATTCCAAGCTTCTTCCTTGTGAAATGGATGGATGTATTGCTTTTAGCAACCAGTTAAAAGGTGTTGCTAAACCATGGATTAGGTAACACTTTAATAACATGTGGGCTGCATGACTCAACTGAAAACCTTCTTGTACCTGATTTGTAAGTTAAAATGGCTTAAAGACGCAAATTTGGGCTGGAAAGACAATACCTCTACTCACATAGAAGTACTGGCAAATTTTAAAAAAATGGATCACACTAATTTCCAAACACAAAATACTCCAGGAAAGTTATTATGGGATATGACTGCAAAAACTTGAATAACAAAACAAAGCAGTTTAGCTTGCGTAAGGTATATCCATTGAATGTTAATGAACTCACCTTTTTACTCGCTGTCATTACCACTGATAACCCAGATGTTATAAGGGCACTGAAATCATTCAAATGCAGGATTATCTGAAGTAGCCATTCTCTTTCTGGTTCATATAGAATGGAAGAAAAGAGAGAAAAGATGTTACAATTTATCATGCTTTGTACTATAGATACATACTTAAATAATTTAAATAATTTATTTGATAGGTTATGTTTTATTTTAATTTTAGATGTTAAGTTATAATTTGTTTTTATGTGTTGGGTTATTATTTTTTAGAGCCTCCAGTGGAATAGTGAGTTAAAGAAATGAGCTGCTGTATTTGCTGACCAAAAGGTCACAGATTCAAATCCAAGGAGCAGGGTGAGCTCCCACCGTTAGCCCCAGGTTCTGCCAACCTAGCATTTCAAAAACATGCAAATGTGAGTAGATCAATAGGTACCGCTCCTGCAGGAAGGAAATGGCACTCCATGTAGTCATGCCGCCACATGACCTTGGAGGTGTCTACGGACAACGCTGGCTCTTTGGCTTAGAAATGGAGATGAACACCACTTCCCAGAGTCAGACACGACTGGACTTAATGTTGGGGAAAAACTTTACCTTTTCTTTTACTTATTATTTTTTGCAATTATGTATGAATTGGTTGCTGTATTCAGGCATTGAATGCTTGCCTTTTTGTGATGGGAATCCACCCTGAGTCCCTTAAAGGAGACAGGGAAGAATATAAATAAAATTATTATTGTTGTTGTTATTATTATTATTATCATTAAATTTGCTTACCATTCCCTATAAAAGAGTTGTGAGTTGTTCTAAGGTCTCCCGGTAATTTTTCTTCATGATCTTGGTGATTTTGATCCTTTTTAATAGAAGTAGGCATTTTCGCTTCAGTGTTTACTGGGGATATATTGTTTGCTTCTGAATGTTGCCTGTTAGGTTCATTATGAGAATCCAAAGAATTACCTTCTTTTGGAGCATAGCCAGGCAATTGTTCCTTATTGATTGTACCTACAAATAATTGGAAAGTGTTATATTCAATTTTTAGTTGTCTCATCAACTGTTCTGTACAGTCAACATTTTAACATATTTTTACAGGATCTCTTGGTTTGTATCTCTTGGATGCTTTTTTAATCGCCTACTTTAATCTACAACACACATTTAGTCAATTGTAACTAATTAAAGATTCAGATGCGTAAGCAACTAGAAAACTTGACTGGTTGACAGCTCAACATCTGTACTTATATACTCTGAAACTCTGCATTGGTTTTGGGTATGTTGTATTTTTCTGGAATCCAACATCTACTAATCAAAAGAAAATATTTTTTATTCTAAATTATGTTGCCTATAACCTTGAGAAAACATAAAGATTATTCTGGTGTGGCATTATCCTGTTGACATAAACACAATAGGAAAAGACTCATTCATATTGGTGAAACATGATTGATTGGAAAGTGTTTATAAAGTTAGTGTATTACTGATGTCATGGCCTATGGCTAGTACAATAAACAATTCATCCAATAGGAAAAGATATCCGCTGCTTCTCACATTTTACTCTGGGATAAAATCCCTATCTCTTTTCTGTGATGTTTGCTTTATAAACAAACAAACAAACACTTGTCTTTCTTTGTTAAAGTAGTAGTTTAGTACCTGATGTTTCCCTTTCGATTGCACAGTTGTTTCTGATGTCCAGCACAAGGCTCTGTAGCTCCAGACGTAAATTTATTTTTGTTTTCAAACATCTCTCATGCATGATTTTTAATTTATGCTCATCTTCCAGTGAGGCGGTCATTTGCTTCTTACTTCTGTAAACACCTTCACAAGAAAAATTGGTGATTTCATAGTAAAACATTTCAAACTCTTGTGCCAGTAGCTGCAGTTCATGTTTTTCACACACATTTGCTTGAAGTATCCTTTTGGACTCTGCAACTAGCTTAGTATATGTTTCCTGGAATCCAGTGAAGAAACTATCTTCTTTTAGGTCCAACTTTGCATCAGTTATCCATTTATCATTTTGAAGTGTTTTCTGGGAAACAGGCTCTGTTTCTTGAATGTCGTCTTTTTGATAGTAGCGTCTTTCGTCTTTAGTAACAGACTTTTTCATGGTGAGACTGTGCATTTTGCCCTGAGACTCCTGTTCTCTACTTTTTAAAGCATGTGAATAATGGCTAGCCTTTGTACCCTGAACTTCACTTTTGCCTTCTTCAAAGTCACTTCCCACTACATCAGCCTCCTGCCTTTCAACCTTGGCTTGTGTTGCGATAATATTTCCATTATTTGTGTTTTCTATAAAATTTTCTTTAGGTTTATTTTGAAATAGTTCTCCAAAAAGCCATGACGTTTTACCAAAAATATTACTCATAACACCTTGTCTTCTTGTGTTTTCAATTTTGCCATTGTGTTCTGTTTCCTCATAATTTTCTATAACTTTTTGGTCTTTTCCTTGGCTATCTTTCACATGCTCAGAATAACCTGGTTCTTCTACCCATTTTAGATGTTTAGGAAGAGGAGTAATTCTATTTTGTTCCAATGTTTTATCATCAGAATCTGTAACTAAGTGGTGAATATCTAAACTATTTTTCGTATGTGGCGAGATGTGGTCCTTTGTAAAACCCACAGCCTCAAGATGATGGGGAATATCATCTGGAGAAAGCTTGCTAGGCTCAACATTATTATCTGTCTCCAATGACTCACTTTTCACTTTTAAATTCAGGGATGGATTTTCACTAGCAACATTTTCAGCTACACTGCATTTCTGAAATAATCTATCATTGTCAATTGTTGGTAAAATATCTACAGTGTTTTTCTCAGATGTTACTTTAGATAGTTTTGGCATTACATCAAGTACTTTTTCCTGAAGCTCAGGTTTATTACCTCCATTATTTAGAATATTATCTATTTTAAGCTTCTCTGCTTTTAAATGTATTTGTGTATCACATGCTGCTTGATTTGTACACTTTTCATCAAACTCTAAGCCCATGAAACTGCTACTATCCCTATCTAATGGTGCAAGATAGGAAGATGTAACTACCTCTTCATTTTTGGGTTCATTTTCATCTTTCTTCTGATATAGCAGGTCTAAAGTCATTTCCTTAGAAAAAGCGCCAGAGCTCAGATAAGATGTTTTTGGTTCCTGTGGTTCATAGCCATAAACAACCTTTGCTGTTGAGGACGAATCAGTATGCTGACCATTATCTCTTGTTGGACCATGTTTCTCTTCACTGCTTTTTTCATCTGTCTGCATTTGTAGATCTTGTGGATTCTGTTTCACATTCACAAAATCGTAACTTAACGTTTGTCCAGCAAGGCCTTCAATCTCATTTTCGTTTTCAAACACTCCTTGCAATGTAGCCTCTATTGATAGACCTTGCTGAATTAACGTATTTGAATCATCTTCATTTGTTGGCTTGTTTGACTCATTTTCTGTGTCTACTTCACCATGCTGTTTGCCTTCATCGCTTTCTGTCAGATGTTCTGAAACATCAATATCTTCATTGTCTCCTTCTTGAGAAAATTGATCTAGACTTTCCTTAGCGACAACACTTTTGTTCAGCTCTCCACAATAATCTGTGCACAGGGTGAAATCATCTTTGATGGCATCAGGTGGCATACTTTCTATAAGTTCCCTTTTTTCAAAATTATCTGTAATATAATATTTCTCTTCACCTGAAAAAGATTGATTCTTTCCTTTTATGTGAGTGCATTCTTTATCCTCAGTGACTTTTTCCTTGAGTTTTTGGTTCCTAAACACGGAATCTACTGTGTGGCCTAAACTATATTTTTCAGATGTGTCTGTTAATGATTGAGCACCTTTTATTATGAGTTCAGTGTCTCGGTTGTCTTGCTTTGCTGAAGGAGTTAACAAAATACCTTTGTTAGAAAAAGCATTGTTCATACTTGTTTCCTGTTTCATATTCTCATATAGTTGTTTGTTTCCTTCTGTTTCTTTGTTTCTCTGTAATATCTCAATAGTATTTTTACTTTGGCTGTCTTCATCCTTGGTGCTCTCATCATTTTGGACTCCATGCAAATCATTCATATTTTCATCTGTAAAGCTCTGAAAGCTAAAAAGAAGTCTGTAGTGGCTGAGAGAGAGAAAGGTCTGGGGCTGTTCAAACTGTCTTTGCATTTCTTCCGAATGAGTGTTATCTGACAAGTCTGTGTTCTGAGAAGAATGTGAAGAAAATGGGGTCTGACCTATATTTTCAGAAGTTCCTTCCTTCTGTGTGTGTTTATTGGTTTGATCAGTGGAGGCATGTTCATTCAAATCTATGCGTTTACTGTCTGCCTTCCTAACGGTTTCTTTTATTTCAGTCCCCATTATTTTAGATTTTTCTAATAAAATGGGATTATTCTCCTTATGTATAAGTAGGTTATTTTCATCTCCTACATCAAAAAGTGTGTCATCTTCACCTGGAATGTCTCCAGATTGTGCAAAATTGTCTGAATGTTCTTTTGCATCCCCGAAAAACTTATTTTTATGTGTAACTAAACTAATTTCTACTTCATCATCCATCTCCTTTTCTCCCTTTGATTCCTTGTCAAGATACATCTCTGTTTCTTCCAAAGAGGAATTCTTTATGTGTTCATTCTTCTGCTGAAGTGCTTCCTCTCCATTGGGTTCTTCTTTCATTAAGGTAGATCTTTCAGAGGAAGTAATCCCTGGTAAAGAATTTACATTTTCTCGCTCTACAGGGAAAGCTTGTTCCGCTTCCCAAGTATGACCCATATGTTTATCCTTTGTATCAATCTTATTCTGCATTTCCAAACTCTCTGCAGAATGGTTCCAGTATATTTGTATACACTGGCCATTGGTGAATCCGTTTCTTAATTTGGATTTTACTGGCAGGCGATGTGGTGTCTTATATTTCCCCAATTCACTATCCTGCGTTTCCCCCTTATATTCTTCTTGATTTTCTGCTTCTGAAAAAGATACAGTGCTTTCCTGGGAAGTATCAACATGTCTATTTTCTGATATCTTTTCAATAATATTCTGATTTAACAGTATTTTACTTTTTTTATTTATATGCAAAATTTCATCGCTCTTTTTAGACTGGGCGCTTTCTTTGCTAGATTTTAGCTCCTTTTCTACACCTGGTATATTACTGCTTTCTTTAGATAGGAGACCCTGAAAATTTAGTGCATTTGTGAAATAACTAATAGATAGGAAAGGCTGGGGTTCCAGGGGCCCCTCGTGGTTTTTTTCTCTTTCATTTTGTATATATATTGGATCTAAACCTTGAAGCTGATCGGGAGCTGATTCTTGTGAGCTCTGAATACCTACAGACTTATGATCTGGCTGATTATCTGTTGTGTCTTTTTTAAAATCGATAATGTTACTATATAAACTTTCATACCAACCTGACTGGCCTTTTGTTTTTTCTGATTCCTTCATTACAGCCTGAGCATTAATATGTTCCATAACTTGATTTCTTGGTTCTGAATCATGTTCTGCATACAAGTTCACAATTTTATCAAGAAACTCAGTGGAGAAAGATGGAGCTGCAGCCTCTAAGTCTGTATGTTCACTTGCTTTTCTAATATCTGTCTCGGAAACTTGTTTATCATCTTTTTCTTGTTCTTTCTGCAATGTTGGTTCAATTATTTGCTTTATAGGTTCATCATTTTGTTCTTCAGAGAGAATAGCTTCAACAGCTTGCTTTCTCAAGTCTTCATGTACTAAAGAAGCCTGTGTACTTGGAGGTGGTGCTTCTTTATTTTGATCTATTTCTTCTCTGCCTGGAGGCTTTTCCTCAACTTTATTTCCCTTTAACCCAAAAGTTAAAACATCACTTAATTGTAGATCAAACCAGTTTGATTTAGCTTCCCCTTCATCGGTTGTTTCAGATACTTCAGTAGCGTCAGGCTCAATAGTCTCAGCTGTACTGGAGCTATCAAGTATTTCTGGGTCATTTTCTTCGTAGAGCGAACCAAGTCCTGCTTTTTCACTCCGAAATTGTAGCAAGCCTGTGAAAGTACTTTTAAGCCAGCTAGAAGACTTTGACTTGAGATCATCTTCTTCGTTTAGTTTTTTAGAGTCACTATCATCCATGATGGGTATTTGTCTGCTCCTGAATGTAACTTCTCTTGCAGTCTCAGAGCTCTTCCCATTAGTCTCCTCGTTTTCTTTACTTTCTGAACTAAACCAATCTGCAAGACCAGAAATGGTCCAAGAAGACCGAGTAGGAAGAGGGTTCAGAGCCTGACTATTTTGGTCTTCTTGCTGAGTAGTTTCAGCTTGTCCAGTCTTGCTGTCTCTAATTTCTGAATCGTGGCTTGTAGGTTCAAGAATATGCAGGTCTTTGGATTTGCTGTCAGCTTCATCAATATCATCAATATCTTTATATTCCTTTGGGGATACCTCAGTGTGAAGATGTAAATACTCATTTTCTTCATCACGGTTATTGAGTGTGCTGTCTTGGTTTTCAAAGACATATTCCTCTCCATCGAGACAAAGGAAATCGGTTTCCTACAAGTAAGAACATATATTAACTGAATTATTTATTGATTTATTTACTGTATTTATATCTCACCCTGGAGGGAACTCAGAGCAGCTTACAGAAAGGCACAATTCAATGCCTCATAAACACACATACACTGATACAATAAAGAAAATATATATATTAAAATCAAGATGCTAAAAACATCTACATCTGAAAACCAATTATTAAAACCACACAATCCAAAAGGGTAGTTCAGGGGCCATTCTAGTAGTAAATCACCATTCTAGTCGTAAATCATGCAGGAATACACAATCAAAGCGCTCCTGACAGATGGCCATCCAGCCCCTGTTTTAAAAAACATTTCATTCTTTTATTGGTAGATCTGACAAAGACACCCTGCATTATGTTATCATGTTCATTTACCTTAGTTGGCACTTCCACTTCTTTTGTTATAAAAACATTTTCAATCTTGATTGCATCCGTTGGAAAATATCCAAAATCTGTGCCTTTCTGGAAGAAATCAACATTTAGTATTATATATATGATTTGTATTATATAGAATAATAGAGTTGGAAGAGACCTCGGGCCCTTCCACACAGCCCTATATCCCAGAATATCAAGGCAGAAAAACCAACATTCTCCGAGATTGGATTCAGATAACCCAGTTCAAAGCAGATATAGTAGGATTTTCTGCCTTGATATTCTGGGATGTAGGGCTGTGTGGAAGGGCCCCTTATGGGCCATCCAGTCCAACACCCTGCCAAGAAGTAGGAAAATCACATTTAAAGCACCCCCAACAGATGGCCATCCAGCCTCTGTTTAAAAGCTTCCAAGGAAGGAGCTTCGACCACACCCTGGGGCAGAGAGTTCCACTAATGAACAGCTCTTACAGTTAGGAAGTTCTTCCTCATGTTCAGGTGGAATCTCCTTTCTTGTAGTTTGAAGCCATTGTTCCGCATCCTGTTCTCCAGGGCAGCAGAAAGCAAGCTTGCTCCTTCCTCCCTATGACTTCCCCTATCATGGCCCTATCATGTCTCCTCTCAGTCATCTCTTCTGCAGGCTAAACATGCCCAGCATGTGCTTGATTTTCACTTGAAAACATTGCTATACAACAAATATATATTTTTTTAAAAAAAATTCTATTCTGTTTAGGTAATAATAAGAAAATAAGAGGAGATGGGTGTCTTCATTCTGGATTGCAATTAACTCCATACTATTTCCCCAATAAGCCTTAGACACTTTGAATAAGATTGTTAGAAATGCCTCTAGAACATGGCTCTATAGCCCGAAAAAAACCCACAAGAACCTAGTAATATTCAAGTTGTCCTACTATTACTATTACTATAGTACACTGCATTTTCTAATAGTGAAACCATAATATTACTAATATACACTTAAGAGCCTTGCAAAGAGACTTAGGCAAAGGTAAATGTTTCCTCCTGACATTAAGTCCAGTTGTGTCTGATTCTGGGGGGTGCTGCTCATCTCCATTTCAAAGCTGAAGAGCCGGTGTTGACGGTAGACACCTCCAAGGTCATGTAGTCAGCATGATTGCATGGAGCCCGTTACCTTCCTGCCGGAGCGGTACCTATTGATCTAGTCACATTTGCATGTTTTTGAACTGATAGGTTGACACAAGCTGGGGCTAACAGCGGGAGCTCATGTCCCTCCCCGGATTTGAACCTGCGACCTTTTGGTTAGCAAGTTTAGCAGCTCAGTGGTTTAACCCACTGCACCACCGGAGGCTCCTACTTAAAAGACTTAAATAGTCTTAAAATCTTGTTGCGTTGTTATAGTTCAAAATATTGCTATCCAGAGAGCTGGGACTTTCTTCTCCTTACTCTTTGGCAGCAGCCATCCCTAGTACTTAAAAAGTGGTTCCAACTGTTTTTGAGTTCACAAAGGACTTAAGCAAGATAATGACATCACAAGCTTTTCGAAAACAATGGAATCCAAATCAGATCCCGAAGACCCATCCAGTGCCACCCACTGCCATGCAGGAAAATACAACTGAAGCATTTTAAAACATCCAAAGGAAGAGAATCCATCACCCTCCAAGGCAGTCTACTACTGAACAGCTCTTATCCTGGCCATAGTATTCACAAATGACCTTTGGTATCACTGCTTTCTGGTTCCTTACAAATAAAATATAAAATACTTACACTCCCTGCCCAGAGATCCTCTCTTTTCCCAGAAAGTTTGAAGTGCACCATTATTTCTTCCCCAGCTTTGAAGTTCAGATAGCGACAGTCAGGCCCTTGATGGTCTTTAATGGCTAGCACTCTACTCATGGATGCTAAAGATATGTTAAAAAAATAAGCAATATTGGAAGAGTTTTATTATGTTTTTAACCAATACGTACAAAACAATCAAACACAGAACCAAGGATGGATTGTAACACAGAGATACTCAGTCACTTTTGCTTCAAAATTAGTGAACTCTCATATTCCCAAAGATGGTTCCTGCTAGAACAGGAGAGGAGATATGTAGTAGTTTGCTCACTGTCAACATAACAGAAATAGATTTGCAATTCAGTAGTGGATGAGGGAAGGGGATATACATTAACAAACTGTGAGTGCAGTTTGTTTGGTGACCCTTATAAACAAAGGCTTCCAGTGTAATATCAGTGGGCCTTTGCTATCCACTAGAGTTTGGTCCCAGAGCCCCGTGTGAACACCAAAATCCCCAGATCCTCAAGCCTTTCTCTCCCTTTCCCTCTCCCCCCCCCCTCCTCTATATATAGGTTAAGGTTTCCCATAACATTAAGTCTAGTCATGTCTGACTCTGGGGGGTAGTGCTCATCTCCATTTCTAAGTCGAAGAGACGGCTTTGTCTGTAGACCCCTCCAAGTTCATTTGACCGGCATGACTGCATGGAGTCCCATTACCTTCCCACTAAAATGGTACCTCTTGATCTACTCACATTTGCATGTTTTCGAACTGCTAGTTTGGCAGAAGCTGGGTCTAACAGTAGGAGCTTACCCTGCTCCTTGGATTTAAACCGCCAACCTTTCACTGAGCAAGTTCAGCAGCTCAGCAGTTTAACCTGCTGCACCACCAGGGGGTGATATATATATATATATATATATATATATATATATATATATATATAGGTGTAGTACAATAATGTCCCTTATATGTTTTTTTTTATTTTTAACAAATACATATTTCAAAGCCATGAATGGTTGAATATGTGGATACAGAATCCATGGATATAGTGGGCTGACTGTACAAGGAATATGATATCTTACAGAAGGGCAGGGTTAACCATTATGCAAAGTAAGCACATGCTTAGGGCATCGAAGGAAGGGAGCACTACAGAAATTTTCCATTGCCAGATTCACGATCCACCATATGCCAATGATGCAGCTGAACCAGGTTCCACAAAAGGGGCTCCCACAATAAAAGAATTTGCAATTAGAAAAAAATATAGGGGGGGGGGGAACCCTACTAAATATAAATAATGTGGAAGTATAGAAAAGTTAACATTATATTCTCCATGGAATATTATTTGACTTATTCATGGATCATATACACGCCCATAAATCTATCCCCAAAAGCTGCCCTCAATTTCTATATGAGCTCGATGTATACATGAGTATATATATGGTAGTTTATCCTATAGCATTGAAGTCATGTAGAGCATTAGCTTCTTTTCCCAGCACAATTACAATTTGGAATGTAAACAGTGCCTTCTGCATTACTCTTCCCAGGAGTACCCTTGTTTCGATCTGTGAAATGTTTCCAGGCATACTATATGTCTACTACCTGTCTACTCCATCCTTAACATTTGATGGCTCAACTTGACTAATAGGAATCCAGGAAGGTCTGTGTAATTTGTCTCTGTGCATGAACTGGGGTGCCCAGACCAAATTTCTAGGGTTACTATAAGGCCAGAGAGCAGGAATGAGTACCTACCAATTATACCGATGGACATTGCATCAGTATATTAATCCTACAGATCAGGACGGAGTCTCCCATTGATCCTTGCCAGTGTAGCCAGTTATGAAGAATACTAGTTATTCAAGTCCAACAGCTGGAGGACTGTATCTTTGACTCTAGCACAATCCTTTCTTCAGCCCACTATAATTAATTAAGACAGTTAAGTGTGTATAAAGTTAAGTTAGACAAACTGCCAGAACAGGCAAGGTAGAGTCTATAAAAGAATGATGGGCCAACACACCTAACATATAGTGTAAGTTGGTCAGACAAACAAATTACATATATTTGTTAAACAATCATTCCTGTAAAGTATAACTCTTTGCCAGCCACATGACCTTAGAGGTGTCTACGGACAACGCCGGCTCTTCGGCTTAGAAATAGAGATGAGCACCAATCCCCAGAGTCAGACACGACTGGACTTAATGTCAAGGGAAAACCTTTACCTTTATGTAGGGATGACACTGAGATAGTTTAAAGCAGTGTTTCTCAACCTGGGTTCAGGACCCCTGGGGGGTCGCGAGGGGGTATCAAAGCGGTCACCAAGAACCATCAGAAAACACAGTATTTTCTGTCGATCATTGGAGTTCTCTGTGGGAAGTTTGTCCCAATTCTCTTGTTGATGGCGTTCAGAATGCTCTTTGATTGTGGGTGAACTATAAATCCCAGTAACTACAACTCCCAAATGTCAAGGTCTATTTTCCCCAAACTCCATCAGTGTTCACATTTGGACATATTGAGTATTTGTGCCAAGTTTGGTCCAGATACATCATTGTTTGAGTCCACAGTGCTGTCTGGGTGTAGGTGAACTACAACTCCAACACTCAAGGGCAATGCCCACCAAACCCTTCCAGTATATTCTGTTGGTTGTGGGAGTTCTGTGTGACAAGTTTGGCTCAATTCCATTGTTGGTGGAGTTCAGAATGCTCTTCGATTGTAGGTGAACTATAAATCTCAGGAACGCCAACTCCCAAATTATAAAATAAATCCCCTCCCCATCCCAACCCCACCAGTATTCAAATTTGGGCATATGGGGTATTTGTGACCAATTTGGTCCAGTGAATGAAAATACATCCTGCATATCAAATATTTACATTGCGATGCATAACAATAGCAACATTACATTTATGAAGTAGCAACAAAAATAATTTTATGGTTGGGGGTCACCACAACATGAGGAACTGTATTAAAGGGTTGGGGCATTAGGAAGGTTGAGAACCACTGGTTTAAAGCTTTCTTAGCAGGCTTCTTTTTTCCTAACTGAACTTTGTCCTTTCCCATAAACAACACCATAAATTAACCCAATGGCTTCACAAAAACAATTCTTCTTCCACAATTGTTGTGTTTAAAACATATAGAACAATCTCTTCTTAAACCTTGTTTGATCAGAATTTAAGGTACATACTGAGTTTCAAATAAATTTGTTGCTGTATTTTATTTTTAATTTGCATTTTATGTAAATCACAGATCTTTGTACTTACTTTCGCATTCTGGGTCGCCACACTTTTTCCGGTCTGACAATACCTTTTCACTCCTGATGTTGGTTAGCGACGAAATAAGTAGTAGAAAAAACCTGACCTCACAATTCATCACCATCCTAAAAACTGAATTATGATAATCCTAAAAGAATTAAAATACTTTTTGTCAAGAATTTAGTAACTTAGATAATTCCTTTCCTTATTTAGTTAACGTCTTTAGTCTGTGTTCCTTTTCTCGTCGAACTCTGATTGCAGAAATGCCCTCTCAGCAATCTGCCAAGTCAACTGTCCTGATTAAGCAAATTAATAATTAACTACATTTGATAACAGAGGCTAGTATTTTGAAACAGAAAAGGCGTTTTCAGTCAAGTGATGGAATCCATATATTCTAATAAAGGGTACTTTATGGGAAATTGTGAGGAGACAGATACAAAATGATTAAAGACACTAAACAAAACCAGTGATCACTGTTGTGTACCTTCAAGTCATTTCTGACTTATGAAGATCCTAAGGCAATCTTATCACAGAGGTTTGTTTGACAAGATTTGTTCAGAGGGGGTTTGCCTTTGCCTTCCTTTGAGGCTGAGAAACTATGACTTTCCCAGAGGGTTTCCATGGATCAGTAGAGATTCAAAGCCTGCTCTCCAGAATCACGCCCCCAGCACTCAAATCAGTGAACTACAACATAGATACTTTATTATAATGGCCAGAATCACTGGGTTGTTGTAGGTTTTTCGGGTTATATGGCCATGTGCTAGTAGCAGTCTTTCCTGATGTTTCGCCTGACATTTCGCCCCTTATGAACCATCTAGGATCTTAAGATTGTCTGGGGAGGCCCTGCTCTAAATTCTGTCTTTGTCATAAGTATGTCTGGCGGGGACGAGAGACAGTGTCTTCTCAGTGGTGGCCCCTTGGCTATGGAGAGACCTCCCTAGGGATATCAGATCGGCCTTCTAAAAATTATCATGAAATGACTTCTTCCAGGGAGCTCACAGTGAAGTTATTTTATCATCACCACAACCAGATGAGACAAGAAAGGTGAGGACTACTGAGTTTACCAATATTACCTTATGAGCGTGGAGATGTGGATACATTACATCGAGGATTCACTTGAACTTTTATTTTCCATTATGCCTTACCACCTGATCATATTAATTCCTTTAAAAAATCAGATTTTGCAATGTTGTCTGAGTCTAGATATGACCTGTGATCAGTGGAAGAGAGAAGAGGAAGAATACAAGCGAGTGGGGAGAGAGGGAAACACGGGGTATTTCATGAAGAATTTAGAGACAAAACTGGAATATCCAGATTAATTTTAAAAAGTATGACATTTCAATGCTTCTAAATATTTTTTCCCTTGTGGATTAACCCAATTTACAAATGGGTATGTGTTGTGTTGGGTCACTCACCTTTGTTTGTTCTAGTCAGTGTTTTCCTTTCTCCAATCTAGTTTTTTCTCCAACTGTCTTTTCTAACTCCTTTTCTTTCTCCTTTCAGACCTGCCTTCCCATTGGTCAACACAGCATTCCAAATTACATGTGATTATTGCGCACGTGGGGGGGGGGGGGATTATACGAGTTGAATCAGAAACAGGTAAAATGTCAATTGGTTTGAGAATTACAATTTGGTTTTTATGACTGTTTATGATCAGTTTATAATCCACTATCACATTCTCTCTCCGTATCTATTAGGATTTCTAGACTACTCTTAAAATGAGAGAAGCAAACTTTTGGGAAACTTTTTGAAACAAAACCATTGTTTTTAGATTAATTGCAAGATTAAACTTCATCCCGATCATACCTTTTGATGTTCTTTGAAGACTTTCCTCTTATAATTGCTAAGGTTTCTATGGTGTAACCATTTTTATTATGTAACTATATTGTTTTTATGTGTTGTCAAAGGCTTTCATGGCCTGAGTCACTAGGTTGCTGTTAGTTTTCCAGGCTGTATGGCCATATTTCAGAAGCATTCTCTCCTGACGTTTCACCCACATCTGTGGCAGGCATCCACAGAGGTTGTGAGGTCTCACAATCTCTGAGGATTCCTGCCATAGATGTGGGCAAACGTCAGGAGAAAATGCTTCTGGAAAACTCACAGCAACCCAGTATATTGTTTTTATATTATTTACTGGTTTTATAACAAGATTGCCTTTCACCTTCTTATCTATTGCTCAAATAAACCTTACATGTGCTTTACTTGAGTGTGCAGTTGGTTCTAGGATCATTCTCCCATTGTAATTGGAGGCATAAACCAATGTTGGTAAGCAGCTTCCTTTAAAGCAACTTGGATACCAGTTTCCAAGTTCCAAGTTACAGGGTTGTTGTTCTTTAACTGAATTTCAACAGAAAGGAAGAAACCATGAAAATGAACAAAATCTGGCTACCAGTATTAACAAACTCTAAAATTATAACAGTAAATAAAGAACAACACTCAAACACAGGGGAACTCCAGAGAAGAAACAAGCAGGGACAGCTAATAAAATCTCAACAAAGTATTCCCCCAGGCAGTAACAAGTCACACCTAAAAACTGTCAGGCCATTGAATGCTAACCAAGGTGGCCAATTGAAACACACCTAGCTCCAACAGACAAGAGTGCTTTCTCCACCCTGGACTTTCCATAGATATATAAACCCAATGTTCCTGGTTTCCAACAGACCTCACAACCTCTGAGGATACCTGCCATAGATGCAGGCGAAACCTTAGGAAAGACTGCTTCTGGAACATGGTCATACAGACCAAAAACCTACAACAACCCAGTGATTCCAGCCATGAAAGCCTTCGACAATACATTCCAAGTTACTCTTGATACACAGAGCTGTTTGAATTGCAATCCTCCATGTTTACCTAGGAAAAAATACCTTCAAACTAAATTAATCCCATTCTAGGAGATAGTCTCTAAGATGTGCAAGTCTCTTTTAGCTCATTTCTCTCTTCTATTTTATGTATCCTCCTAAAGAGGGAATTTTCTATTTGGGATGGCTTTAGTAGATGATTATACAATTTCAGACAGGTATAATGACTTTTATTTTAGAGTATTTTAGGCCTTTTATCACATAAGGCTAGAAATCTGCAGTACCTTCTTTGGCTGGTAATTATCACATGATGCTATTTCTCCTTTGTTTGCATTCTATTATTTGTAACTGTCGAAAAACCTATCAATGGCTCCCAATATTGCTTCTGTTTAACATTGACTCTTGTGTGATCAGTAACTTTGGCAACAGTTTCAATATCCTAGCAATTTCCTCCTCTCCTGCTTGCTATTTCCAAGTAGGATGAAGGAGGAAGTTTATGCAAGAGTGATCATAGGACTGTGATTACTAAAGGAAGGCCATAGCTCGATTGCAGCGAAGTGTAATGTCTTCCATGAGGTATGTTTCCATTGGCTTAAACAACACGATTGCCACAAGATAATTGGTGTGATAATGTCTTTAGGAAAAAAAACTCCTTTGTCTTTAACAATACTTATATAGTAAACCTGCTTCATGAGACTGTTTTAAAAATTGAGGCTTCATTTTTGTGAATCTAACATAAAATAAAATGCTTACGAGGTACTTATTGAAGCAGAGAACTGCTTCTTTACATCAAATACTCCTTGATGCCATATGTGCCAACACATATGACAAGTGGCACTCTGCCATGCCTTGTGTGATAATCTTTCCAGGGAGATATGCCTAGTGTCCATATTAACACCATTTATGCACTGTACCAATGCTGACCTGTCGTCTCAGAAAACCAGTGGGTGACCTTGAGCTAGTCACACTCCCTCAGAAGGCAATGGCTAATGTCCCCTGAATAAACTTTGCTAAGAAACCAGTGTTGCTATAGGTTGAAATTGTCTCCAAAAACAGCTTCTCCACCCCATCTCAAGACACTTCACTGGCTGTGAGTCTGCTACTGAGCACAATTCAAAATGCTGCCTTTAGCCTATATATCTCTAAATGTTTACGACCCAGCTTACATGTCTGAACATACCTCCATGATCCACCACGGAGACGAATATCGGAGGAAGAACTGCTCTCGATCCCATTGGTGGGGATGAGAGACAGGGCCTTTTCAGTGGTGGCCCCTCTTCTATGGATTGGCCCCCTCCCTAATGGCCTTCAGAAAAAAACTAAAAACATGGCTTTGGGATCAGGGCTTTGGTCAGTAATGGGAGCAGCTAATAAATTAACATTGACAACTCAGACTGGCCCCAGATTGTGCGATGTTAAATTGTTGCCTAATGTGATGTTTTAACTGGTTGGTTTTAATGTTTATTTATCAACGTGTACACTCAGCATTGAATTGTTGCCTTTGTAAGGCTGCCCCGAGTCCCCTCCGGGGTTGAGAAGAGCAGGATGTACTGTATATACTCAAGTATAAGCCTAGTTTTTCAGCACATTTTTTATGTTCACAATTAAAACTTGTGCGCCAGCTGTGCCCGTACCTTGGGAAGTCAGCCTTGGCCACGGTGGTTCACGCTCTTTTTACATCCAGGATAGACTACTGCAACGTGCTCTACATGGGACTGCTTCAAATAGTCAGAGAGGTAGCCAGGTTAATAACTGCGGCAGCATATAGGGAGCCCACAACTCCGTTATGCCAGATCCACTGGCTGCTTTTTTGCTACCAGGCACAATTCAAAGTGCTGGCTTTGGCCTATAAAGCCCTAAACGGCCCTGGCCCAGTTTACCTGTCTGAACGCATCTCCCTTTACAAAACACTGCGAAAACCAAGATCTTCTGGGGAGGCCCTGCTCTGTCCCGCCATCACAGGCATGTTTGGCAGGGACGAGAGACAAGGTCTTCTCAGTGATTGCCCCCTGGTTATGGAACTCCCTTCCTGGAAATATTAGGTCAGCCCCCTCCCTCCTGTCCTCAGAAGGATGGTGAAGACCTGGCTGTGGACCAAGCCTTTGGGGCAGTCCAGTGAGGCAATCATTGAATTGTGCGGAAATGGTTTTTAAGCAACTGATTTTAAAGTGCATATGCGAGTTTAATGTTTTTATATATTTATGGTTTCATGTCCTGGCATTGAATGTTTGCCATACATATGTTGTGCCTCACCTTGAGTCCCCTCACCTTGAGTCCCCTGAGTGAGAAGGGCAGAATATACATGTTACAAATAAATAAATAAATAAATAAAAAGGCCCCCTTGGCTTATACTTAAGTGAGGGTCCTGGCAGGAAGTCGTGGGGCTGAAAGAAACCCTTTGCAGGGCTTCTACCAGCTATGTGCCTCCTCTCCTTTCAGCACAGTAACCCAGC